CTACGGATTCCCAAATATCCGAGTCTATGGCTTCAATAAAAATTTGCATGCGGACTTTCCAGTAGGCATACCCTTCACCACTGAATATAGGTGGTCGATTAATGGATGAACCATCACCACCAAATGGGTTTGACGAACCCATTCCTTTTTCCCTTAGGATCACGAATACGCGGTTGAACTAGCACTTCGCACTAGCTCTGATACCACTTGTTAGGTATCAGTGGTTACAATACACCTAGAAGGGGGGGGGGGGGGTTGAATAGGTGTAGCGGTTAGAATATCCGCTTTTCGAAAAACAACACTTAATGCTGAAATACACCTAATTAATCGATTAACGAAACAGGGTAATCGATTAACACATTCAACACAGTCCTCTTAATCGATTAACAGAACTAATGTAATCGATTAACACACTACACTTAATCGATTAAACCGTGACAGTAAGCTAATGCAGATACAATTTCTTGCACGACAATTAATTGATAACGAAGCGAATATACAGAGCTTACAGAATTATCAGAGTGTAATCAATATAGTACAGAAACGTATTATCAATTAAATCTACTATACAAATCAATCGATCAAATGCAATAAAGAGAGAAAGGGATAGAAAAATCCTGCAACACGAATTTTATCGTGGTTCGTTTGCTTGTCCACCGCAAACTACATCCAGGCCTCCCGGCTGATTTGGGAGATTTTTCTTCACTATAATTGAATCAATGTTTATTACATACACACTATCCAATTAAAACACTTAGACACTTACAAGATAATAAAGATCCTATTCTATGGTTTGACTCCCTTCCTACCGACAAAGAAAACCTTTCTTTCGGTGTAGCCCCAGCCAAGAACCTCTGTTCTTTACTTATCCCTAAGTCTAACACTCAGTGAAGATACACTCAATCTCTTGGCGATACGACACCTTGAGATTCCCAAAATTATAACACTTTTTCAATCAAAACGAAATAGAGTAAACTTAAGCTATTACAAGACTTATATCTAACAAGACAAGACTTTACTCTAATCACCTAATACAAGCTCATGCAGTATGAAAATGTATTAGTTTGAAAAACATAATGCATAGTATGTAAACATCTAATCAAGAATCATCAATAAAATGCAAGAACATGTGATATGAAAAGATGAGAAATGTATCATGTAATGCACTCAATCCTAAAGCATAGAATTCTCTCTTTTCTAAACTCATAAATGCATTTACAACTAGATGCAACAATTAACACGAAAAGAATGCTCTAACTCTCTAAAAATTTAACATGCAACTTATGAGATCAATTCTGAAAACGCGGTTTATAAAGAATTGATTTTATAGCCCAATTAATCGATTAACGACAGCCTTAATCGATTATACTGTACAAAACTGATAGATTAATCGATTAACCTATGTCGTAATCGATTAAACTGTGCAAACAGTTAGATTAATCGATTAACCTACGCTGTAATCGATTAACAGCATATTTTCAGGTGTAAAAACTCAAATACGTTATGCACTTAAATTCATACATGTTTAACACTTAGTTTATGCCTAGAATGCACATCTACATGTATTTATGTGATGCATGAACATATTATGAATGACATATCTCAAGATGAAAATGATTTAAAAGATTTATGCAAATGAGATATGTATTAGGTGACTTAAGCCTTAGACTCAACCTAAACTAATCTAGTCTAAGCTAAGTACCAATCAGAAGACTTAAGCACGTTGATTTGTTGATGATCTTCAAGCTCTTATTAGCACAAGTTGTCTTCATCAAAACCATGACACATAAAGAGAGCTTTCCAAAGTGTTTCTCTTGACATGCACACTTTCATCCTCCGTCATGATTTCGGCTACACTTGCTGCACCAGGGTGGAGAGTTTAACAGTGACCCTCCAACATTTGCATGGGTCCTCGGTCCATGCGAAGTGTAACCCCGAGTACCAACAGGTGGAAAATAAGGCTTTCGCTCATCGCGAAACATCTTATCCTTGCCTCTTCTGTGCACAGAGTTTCTTTGAGGCCCGAAGTCCTTGGGAGGAATGGTTTTGGAGGTCGCTACTCCATCCGCCTTCACGTTAGTACACCCCATTCCTTGGACCCACTCAATAGCAGCATTCGGAGCGAATTCGCCTTGGAACGGAGAGTCTAGACCTGGAGTCACGCTCCGATTCAGATTCTGTAAATTCTCCTTCATGCCCTATAGCCCCTCTACCAGCTGTGCCAACAAATCATTGGGAACATTCTGACTCGTCCCTCTTCCTCTTTCAGCCATGTGTACCTGCACTCACGTACTTGTTAGTAGACTAATTTTAAAACGTCAGTGCTAACCAAGCAGTTCAAGCACATAAATATCACAAAGAAGCATGTAAGGCCAAATCCTAGGCCGCATGATTAACTATGCTCTGGTACCATATTGTAAGGACCCAAATTCTACCCTTGAAAATTTTTCTCATTTTAATTCAATTCCATGCGATCACTCATAACTCACATTACCAATTTAATATCCTTACTTCAAAATCTTATTTCCTCCTCACACTCAATCCATGAATCAATAACGACATACATAATCATTTTACTTAGAAGTCCTCATGAATCATTCCTTGAACTAATCTTTTAACCTCTTATATTATCATACAATTCATATTGCAGAAAAATATAATTCATTCATATCATCCCCTATGAGTACTAAGACCCCAAAGGTTCTGATCCTCCAAAATAACATTACGCATGTTTACAAATATCCAACTAATGGTTAGCCATGATTACAATCATTTAAATCCGCAAGTAGTCATTTAGAATACGAAAACATGAATAGTGAATCCAAAGTCTAAAACTCCTAAAGCTCCCGACCTAGCATACTTCATTCATCTATTTACCAGCAATGGGATTATCAATGACAAAAGTACAAAACACACAAAGGAGTAAGTCGTTAATTCAATAAACATCATTATAAGATAATCCACATTATAAAAGGGGTTAGTAAACCATTTTTGAAATTCATTTTGTTTTGATGCATAACTTGAGCCAAAGTCGCTACACCCCTCAAGGTTAGCTAAAAGTAGATTCTCATTTCTTTTAGAAGAAAACATGCTACATATACTCGAGCTGGAGTTTTGCTTATATACTGAAGCCAGAGTTTCGCTTATATACTAAAGCCAGAGTTTCGCTTATATACTCAAGCCAGAGTTTCGCTTATATACTCAAGCCAGAGTTTCGCTTATATACTCAAGCCAGAGTTTCGCTTATATACTCAAGCCAGAGTTTCCCTTATATACTCAAGCCAGAGTTTCGCTTATATACTCAAGCCAGAGTTTCACTTATATACTCAAGCCAGAGTTTCGCATATATACTCAAGCCAGAGTTTCGCTTATATACTCAAGCCAGAGTCGCTAACCATTCATGGTCGGCTAAAAATATATTTTCTTTTCATCGAATTCACCATCAATCATTTCCCGTAAATCCACGCCATCTTTAGTATAAACACACCCATATATGTTTATACTAAATACGTGATTCACAATATAATTATTGCATGACCAGAAAACACACACATTTTCCATCTTACGTAAATCTACGCCTACTTTAGTATAAACACACCCATATTTGTTCATACTAAATGCGTAACTCACAACTCAATCATTTCATAACTAGAAAATACCCACATTTTCCTTTTCCGTAAATCTACGCCTTCTTTATATAAACACACCCATATATGTTTATACTAAATGCGTAATTTACAACTTAGTCTTCGCATAACCAGAAAATACACATTTTCTATTTCAAATGCAAAATTAAAGACTTATCCTTACCTTGGTGAGTATTGGTGTTCGGTTTGTGAGTAACTTTTCCATTTTCCTCCACGATTTCCTCCAACCTTAGGATCTTTCCTCATTCCCACCAATAACAACAATGTCAGTCATTTATTCAAAATAATATATAACGACTCATATTTCATCATCAAACATACAAGGGAATGACATATTTTCAAGATCCCCAAAACTACTTCTATACAAGTTTCCAAACATCTAAACACACATGTTTATCTCATATATCAACATTAAATCACAAACTCATCATCCACATCTAACATCTCACAAAACCTTTCCATTCGTCAAATACCAACTCTAAACCAAGAGTTTACAAGAGAAAAACAACATAAAACGAACCCTAACTCTAAAGGATGAGTTTCCATGGTTTCTCATATTTTGAAAAATAGATCTAACATACCCAAAACAAGTTAGAGAGGAAGAAGAAGAGTTAGAAACAAGAGGTTTACCTCTTCTCAAGCTCTAAGATGAGTCCCAAGGCTCTTTGCTCTTGAAAGGCTCTCTTCTCTCTTCTCTTCAAAGTTCTAACCCTACAGTGTGTTTGGTGTTTCTATTTTAAAGAGAAGTTGTCGGGTTCTCGCTCAAGTGAGCCAATTCTCGCTCAGGCGAGAAAATATCGCCGTTTTAAAATTTCAGATCTAGGACTCTCACTCAAGCGAGGGATTCTCTCTCAAACGAGAATGTCACAATGTCAACAACCCCAAATTTCCATTCCTCTCCCAGGTGAGACAACTCTCGCTCAGGCGAGAATCTCTCGCTCAGGCGAGAATCTCTCGTTCAAGCGAGACTTCCAGGACTGATACTATAATTTTAAAGACTCAAATTTAGGGTGTTATAGTTGCACCTGATTTCACATATGATAGCTTGTGCATCCAGTATCCCAATGAGGATGTGCCATATGTGCTTTAAACTAGACTAATCCATTTGTTGCCAAAGTTTAATGGACTTGCAGGTGAGGATCCTCATAAGCATCTCAAGGAGTTCCATATTGTCTGTTCAACCATGAAACCTCATGATGTTCAGGAGGATCACATATGTTTGAAGGCATTCCCTCATTCACTTGAAGGTCCTGAAAAGACTGGTTGTACTACTTGGCTCCTGGATCCATTACATGTTGGGGTGACCTAAAGAGGACATTCCTTGGTAAATTCTTCCCTTCCTCCAGGACCACTACAATAAGAAAAGATATTTATGGGATTAGGCAACAATGTGGAGAAAGTTTATCTGAGTATTGGGGAGAGATTCAAGAGATTGTGTGCAAGCTGCCCCCATCATCATATTTCAGATCAACTCCTACTCCAATATTTTTATGAAGGTTTGAAAAACATGGACAAGAGTATTATATATGCAGCTAGTGGAGGTGCACTTGGAGATATGACTCCCTTTGAAGCTAGAGGTTTGATTGAGAAGATGGCTTCTAACTCTCAACAGTTCAATGCAAGGAGCAATGATGCCATAGCTGTAAGAGGCGTGCATGATGTTGGGACTGATTCGGTGAGGCAAGAAAAGCTTGAGCGAAAAATTGATTCTCTCACCACATTGGTCACTCAATTAGCCATGAATCAGTAGAAACAACTAATGGCAAAGAGTATGTGGTATTTGCACATCACCTGACCATTATAGTGATGTTTGTCCTTCTCTGCTTGAGCCAAGAACTACTGATCATCCTGAGGCTTATGCTGCAAACATCTACAAAAACAGACCAAATCAACAACAACAAAATTATGATCCATCTTCAAGAAGATACAACCCTGCTTGGAGAAATCATCCAAATCTCAAGTGGTCTGATCACACACAACAACAACCTCCTCTTGCACCATTTCAGAACAACAACGCTGGACATAATAGACCTTATGTGCCCCTACCAATCCAACAACAGAGGCAACAACAAGTGATCAATAATCCTGCTCCTGCACCTAGTGAACCTTCATTGGAAGAGTTAGTGCGGCAAATGACAATGCAAACATGCAATTCCAGCAAGGAACCAGAGGTTCTATTCAGAGACAATAGTCTTCAATTTAGAATCGGACCACACAGATGGGACAGATGGCTACTTCATTGAACACATTGCAATCGCAGAATTTTGACAAGTTACCTTCTCGACTATGATTAACCCGAAAAATGTGAGTGCCATCACTCTAAGGTCAGAAAAGCAAACTGAATTGCCCACATATACTGAGATTGCAAGTACTAGTCAAATTGCAACATCTGTTTCTTGCCTATGTTTCGATGAAGACAAAGCCGACCTGAAAAGGTTGAAGACCGGACGCATCAACATCCAACATGACTAAGACTCTGACTCTAGGAAGGATTTATTTTTTATAGAAGTCCTAAGATGCTTGCTTAGCTTTGAGTCTAGGTTAGGTAACCCAAAATGATGATCGTCTCATGCGCTCGTAAGATTGCCTAAAAATCATTTTTTGATAATCATCATTCTTCCTTTTAGTAGGTTGCATCAAAATTATATTTTCTATGAAAATCATGCATCATACTAAGTACCTATCTATTTTTGGAGGGTTACCTCTTAACCAAGAAAACTTATAGTTCTTTTTTTATAATTGATCCTAACAGTGATATAATCGATTATTTGACTGCAGAGACCCTTTAATCGATTAAGAGTCATTTTAATCGATTAATTAGAGTTCCAGTAACTCTGGTTTTTGATTCGTGGCAGTAATAATCGATTATGTATTCTGTTAATCGATTATGTTCAACAAAAATATGTTAATTTTAAGACTGTTAATCGATTAAGAGGTCATTTATTTGATTAAACCTGTTGAAACCAAAAAACTATAAATGACCGAGTTTTTCTCATTTTTTGACAACAACTTTGATAATTTTGATTTCATATTTTCTGAACTTATATTTTCGAAATCCCAAATTCTCTATGAGAATTACTCTGTGCTTAAGTGTCAAATTCTTTGATAGAAAAACCTTTCGCTTGTGAAAAGTGTTCTTGGTTTCTTGTTTTGAAAAAACAAAAGCATTTTCATACTTGTTCAAGTTTGAGTGCACTAATCTGTTTTTTGTGAATAAGATCTTGCTCCTGACCTTGGCACGGTTTTGATGAAGACACCAACATCACAAAAAGAAGAAAGGAAGAAGACCGACAAAGACTATCGAAGACAAAACTTCAAGATTTAAAGTCTAAGTCTTTAGGTACTTCTATCCTTACAACTGATTTATTTACTTAGTTAATAATGCTCAAAATTGTTTTCAAGAAAAACAGAAAAATCTAAGTGTGAATAAAAATGATTTTCAAAAACAACATGTAACGGGTTACCATACTTGAGTAACAAGTTACATGAGTGAGAAAAGAATTTTCAAACCTCTAACAGCTATGAGTAATCCATTACACACTTTGTAGGAACTGTAAGGACCAAAATTCTACCCCTGGAAATTTTTCTTATTTTAACTCGTTCAACCTCCAATCTGTTTAGATTTTATACTTATTCACTGCAATACCTTACGTTATTTATCTTGGTTATTTCCTGACCATCTATCATGTGGCATTCATACATAAAATCTTAATGCAGAAAAACATAATTCATATTAATGTCACTAAGTAACTACATCATACAGTTAGCTATGGGTTTCCAAAACACCCATAGCTACACATATCCCGTGTCGCTAGTCTCCATGATCAATATCATGTACAAAAGGAATGGGGTTCATAATTACCAATAGTTACTTCTAGTTACAAATCAATGAAGTTACAAAAAAAATTGGTAAAGAGACATCAAAATAAAGATCTCTAATCTCCAATTCAAAATCACCCTAACTTCGTCCACCTACCTGCAATTGGATTACATTGACAAATACACAGACAAACGCAAAGGAGTAAGTCGTTAACTCGATAATCATCAATGTAAGTTAATCCACATTTAATAAGGTTAAATAACGAACTAAATCGAATAAAATCAAAACCGTTTTCATCGTAGATACTTTTGAAAAACCTTACTGCATAACTTGAGTAAACATCGCTAACCATCACGGTCGATTATAAACGAGTTTTATTTCCATTGGCACTACACCAATACATAGTCAATAAATGCACCCGACATCATTACAACATATCATATATGCTTGTAACTACAAAGTGACTTACAATTTATTGCATTATTCCGAGTTTTTTTTTCCATTGACACTCCACCAATACATAGTCCATAAATACACCCGACATCATTACAACATATCATATATGCTTGTAACTACAAAGTGACTTACAATTTATTGCTTTATTCCGAGTTTTATTTCCATTGGCACTCCACCAATACATAAATGATAAATACACCCGACATCATTACAAACATATCCACGTATGCTTATAACTACAAAGCGATTTACATTTCATGATTCCATTTCGAGTTTTATTTCCATTGGCACTCCACCAATACATAAATGATAGATACACCCGACATCATTACAAACATATCCATGTATGCTTATAACTACAAAGCGATTTACTTTTCATGATTCATTTCGAGTTTTATTTCCATTGGCACTCCACCAATACATAAACCGTAAATCCACTTCTCATCATTATCAACATACCCATATATGTTCATAATGACTAAGTGATTCACATTTTATTTATTGTCCATAACAGAAAATCCACGCATTTTCTAACACTGCGCATAAGTTAAAGACTTATCCTTACTTCAGTGAGTGTTGGGTTTGGTTTTTGGCGACTTCGTAAGTTCCACCGGCACCGCCTCCAAATTTAGGATCTTTCCTCATTCCCACCACATAACACAATGTTAGTCATTCATTCCAAATAACAAATAAATAACTTATATTGCATTGTTCAACCATACAAGATATTTAACATATTTTCAATGATTCTATACTACTTTCATTATGAGTTTACAACCATCTAAAACATACATATCATCTCATATTTTTAACATAATAAAGCAACTCATCTTCTACCTCTAGCATTTTACCCATTTTTCCACTCTAACCACATTTTCTATCTCTAGGGTTTTTGGGGTTTTCATGAGTCAACCCACAAACCCTTTCCATTCTTGGAATACTAACTCAAAACCAAGAGTTTACAAGGTACAAGCGACATAAAACGAACCATAACTCGAAAGAGAGAGTTTCCATGGTTTTACACATTTTGAGAAGAGATCCATAATACCAAAAATGGGTTCTCAAGAGAAGAAGAGGGTTAGAATAGAAAGTTTTACCTCTTCTAAGGCTCTTGAACAAGAATCAAAGCTCCTAGACCTTGGAAATGCTCTCTTCTCTCACATCTCTTCAATTCTTAACCTAAAAATGTATTTGGGGTTTCTCTCATTTAATGTTCTCGTCGGGTTCTCGCTTAAGCGAGCTTGCTCTCGCTCAAGCGAGAAAATCCCGCCCATTTTAAAAACTCATCTCTGACCTTCTCGCTCAAGCGAGGGATTCTCGCTCAAGGGAGAATCTCACAGTCTCAACAGCCCCAAAATTCCATTTCTCGCCCAGGCGAGACAATTCTCGCTCAGGCGAGAATCCCCCAGTATAGCCCAGGATTTCACCCTCCCAGGTGAGCCTTTCTCGCCCAGGCGAGAATCCTAGGACTGATACTATAATTTTAAAGACTTAAATTTAGGGTGTTACAATCCTCCCCCTCTTATAAGAATTTTCATCCCCGAAAATTAAACATACCTCGATTCAAATAAATGAGGGTAATCCTCCCTTATTTCTTGCTCAACTTCCGAAGTAGCGTCTCCTTCGTCTACTTGACTCCACCTCTCAATCTCTTTACACTGGTATCCATAATTCTCACGGGCAACGTCGCAAAAGTCAAATTATCCTTCAACTCTATCTGATCAAACTCAACCACATGAGATGGATCTCCAACATATTTCCTCAACTGAGACACATGAAACACATTATGGAGATTTGACAACAACGGAGGTAAAGCAATACGATACGCTACCGGACCAATTCTCTTCAATATCTGATACGTCCCAATAAATCGAGGAGTCAACTTACGGGACTTCAACACTCTACCGATACTGGTAGTCGGAACAACTCTCATGAAAACATGATCTCCCTCTTTAAATTCAAGAGGTTCCCGCCTCTTATCATAATAGCTCTTCTGTCGACTTTGGGCGATTCTCATATGCTCCCGAATTTTCTTGATCTTATCCGTCGTCTCCTAGACCAGTTCGGGCCCCAATATCAAATTCTCCCCAGTCTCAAACCAACTTACTGGAATCCAGCACTTCCTACCATACAACGCCTCATAAGGTGCCATTCCAATGCTCGAATGAAAACTATTGTTGTAGGT